GCATGAACTAGAAACAAAAAAACTACTAAATTATGGTAATATTATTGAACTTGTAAATTTAACAATGATATTATGATGCATGGATATGCGATTTTCAAATGATTGTTATGAAATTATTGAATGTTGTTTGTCAGTTAATGTCGAGTATTGGGTGTGAGATGAATTTTGAACTTTGGATGTACAGAGATATTATGGCAATTGAGTGCAAATGCATGTCGTTTATGGATGTTGATGGTTGTTATGGTGTTTTAATACAAGCATTTGTTGGTGTTACGTTCAAGAATAAAAAACAGATACAGTTGGAAAATTGATGATCTCAAACAGTGACTTCGATCTCTTTTACGCTGGCGCAAGGTGGTCATGCATAGTTAACACTCCAACTTCTAAGTCAGTTCAAGATTAAGATGAGTGTAGTGAAAATTGGATATCAAATATTTTACCTTGTTCTTAGTGTGTGAACTAATTTTATACTTTAGATCAAGTGGAGTGAGTTTGAGATTAATTGGGCCTGAGTCATTTGGGCATTTGGGTAGTCCATAACAATTTCCCTAAGGTTTTATCGGAAACTGGAGGAGCTGGGGGAAACCTTAAGTGGTGTTGACCGTCCTCTAGGACATGGTTCAATGTGAAATAAAATTGAAACAATTGGAATTAGTTGAAAAAGTAGTGGGAAACATGTGTATTAAATGCAGTGCCATCATTGAAACACTTCATTACCATCTTCTGATACATGCAGTAACATGACCAACTAGGGAATGATGTAGTTTATAAAGTACTTGAGTGCACTTGAGTTTTCGTGTATCCACGAGTGGAAATCTAACAGTTGATCTTATGATTTATTTCTCTAATTTGTCTGAATCCTTCAGATGTCGTTGCTTATAAATACAGTGTATTGAGTATTTGGAAGTTTTTGCAAGCCTTGATTTTCAAACTTACAATTACTTTCCCATAAGGTACCTTCATTTCCTCTTCCTTGAGAGTACTACTAGAAGTGATTTTTAGTGTCTTGCTTAAAACTTTCGCCTTTCTTCATCTTCTCCCACTTTATCAATATCACATACCCAAGTACCATAATAACTCAAGCTTTTACATTCAATATTTCTTGTTTTCTAATTAGGGTGAGTGATGATATGATTTACCTGGTGAGTGATTTTGAAGTTGAAACTTCATCTGCTCTATAACAAGGAGGTTCCTTGATTCTCGTCTCCATCTTCTTAATAACAATCACCTAAAATCAGAAATCATATCCTTTTTCGATGATTTTGACTCATAATGGGTGTTTGAGAACTCTTTGGAAGAAGAAACTTCTTCATCTAGCTCATTAGATGCCCTTATATCAAATGTCAGCGAAGGGATTAATCGCACCAAGGTTCTTATGCCCGCTTGCATCTTAATAGCATGGGAAATACAAGCCAATTTGCAAAAGGAGAGAATGAGCTAAAGATAATATTCAGCTGCGCTTAAAGACCCATAATTGTGAGCCCAATGATACCGATGTGAAAGCTTATTTGGACCTTTAGAGGCAATGAAGTATGTCTGGATGGATGCAAGGATAATGTGCACTTCATTAGTTCTGAGCATTGAGTCTGCTATAGATGCGACTAACATTATGGTCAGTAATCCTTTGGAATGGTTAGCTCTTCTAGTGGAGTCAGAAAAGCGGATATGAAGTTCTTTTGATGACTGCATGATTCCTTTTTATGAATGCTTGTTCACGAGAATAAGGATTTAGTTGCCCTTTTCTTACTTTTAGTAGTCGTTTTAAAATATCTAAAAGTTGCTCCTTCCCAACTTCATATGGGCTCCTAGGCGTATATGAGGATATTTTAATTGTGTGTTGAGTACAAATCTTGGAAGCCTTCCTTTAGATTATTTTTTTATCTTTTCCCCCAGAGTCGTACTTCTCAGAAAAATTTCCATAACCAGGAGATTATTTATTTTCATCTGGTCAATCCTTGGTTCGACACCTTTACTATAAATTGGGGCGACTTCCTAGGACACTTCTTGTTGGTTAAACCCCTCACACTCGTAACCCATCTTATTTTATGATATCTCCCTGATGATTCTCCTCACGTTTGTTGTATTTTGTATATGAAGTCCTGGTATAAGATCCACTTTAACTAGGACACTCATTATTATTGTACCAAGTCAGGTTCTCTTTCTCCAGACGAGGTGACAATGAACGAGGAAATGCAATTTTGGTTTCAGGGACTTGACTAGGATAAAAGGTTTGGCCCTGAAGAGGTTCCCCCTAACAAGGTAAGAAGAAATGGGATGACACTCATGTTATCTTGAGTGCAGTTAGCCAGGAGGAAAGGAGAAATATTTTTTGTGAAAGCGGAATCTTCGTGATTTTTTTAACACGTGTAGTTTGTTTAAATAACATGGAAGTGGTGAACAAACTGAAGGTGTTCTAAAACTTTTTAAATGCTTAAGGTATTCGAGCTGTGGTGAATACTATGTCTACCACTTCTGCACCTGCTCCTCAAGCGACCGTTATTCCTGCTCTGGCCCCTTCTCCTACATTGGCAATAGAGACTCCTGCTTCTGCTCTCAAGGTGGATCAACTTGTGAACACTTGACTAATCACCACTTTTGCTATAGTTATTATCATTTTAGCATGTGAAAGTATGAGAGTTATTTGCATTTTCCATAAAGATTAAATGGTTTATATGTCAATTTCTTTAGTTTTAGTATTTGTTTGTGTTTTAACTATTCCTGGTATTTTTGATCTTTTTGGGAAGGTTAACAATGTTTTCTGAGTTGAGGGAAGTGAAAGAAATAGTTGGAAAACAAACGCGACGAATTTTCGGAAAGTTTCACAAAGTATATTTTTCAGCATGTTTTACATCATGATAGGCATGTGGTATTTTGACCATATCTAGAGCATCGTAACTCGGAATGGTGTGGGACTGGTGACAAATGAAAGCTAACATTCAGAGCTACAACTTTTATGAAGACACCAAAGGCTAATTCAAAATTTTCTTCCCATACACATATCAACTTGCTCATACGCATATCAGATCTGGAAAAAAATGTATGTATCCAGAGATTCTAATTTACTTATTTCATGTGCATTATCTCATATAAATATGAGTTTCATTTCTTTATTTCAAAAAGAGATCTAAATTTTCCAGTTAGAAAAAAGCTTTGTAAACACAAATTCTTTCTCTCTTAAATCTTCATCTTAATCATGCTCAGAAAAACATTTTCTTGTGTGCGTGTGATGGTTAATTATGCGAAACATTAGAGATCTAATTTTTTATTGAAGTGTACATATTTTTGCAAAGAGACACTTTTATCTTGAAAATTTCAAAGGCTTGAAATTTCTCGAAGGAAAAAGAAGAAGGAGCTTTTCTCCCTTGTGGTGGAGTTTTTTTTGTTAATATGTCAACTTGTTGAAGAGAAAGATTTAAGATTGGAATCCAACATAAGTTAAAGATTAAGTGATGATTGTGAAATTTATTAAGATTGAAATCTATCATAAGTTGAAGATTAAGATTTTGGGTAAAGATCGAAGTTTAGTGGTGGTAGCTAGTTGCAAACAAGTTATATCCAGAAGCAAAAAAGAAGGTAGATTGGATTATTATAATTTATCTTTTGCTTATCTGAATTGTTGTATCACGAACCAAACTCAAATATCATATTAATAGAAGGTAGAGATTTTTGTTGGTTTACCATCGAAGACTAGAGTAGGTGCTTGCGAGGACGATAACACTAAACTAGTATAAATACTGGTGCTCTCTCTCTCTCTCTCTCTCTCTTAAATTTGCATGCTTGTGTTAGTTGTTTATATTCATTGCGTTCATAGTCTTAATTTGCCAAAGTTTAGGTTTGATTAGAATTGTTTTTCAAAAGAATCTTATTAATTGATTGTTGTGTGAGAATTGAAATTAGAGTTGTCTTTTAATTGAAGAATAGTAAAAAATTTTAAGCATCTCGTTGCAACTTTAACCATTAGTCATTATACTACTTTTTACCTCATTACAAACCTTTGATGTATCTATAACATAAATCTTCTTCTAATATCATAAAATCTTTTAAAAACAAACTTTTACCATATCTGTTTCTATTTGCGTAGTTTGTTTTAAAAATCAAAAATAAGGTATTTTTTAATTATTTATTCGATCTCCTCTAGACAAATTATTCAATATTCAAACCAACAGAACAAGAGTGGAATCTTGGAGCAACTATAAAAAATGAAAGAAATGAGATGGAATCAGACATGTGTTAAAATCAAATGAGCTATAACAAAGTAGCTGATGCAAAAGCATAAGCGATTGTCACAACACTTATGGTTGCAAGAACCATGAAGATAACTAATATGCAAATCCAAATTAACTGCAGGGAGATGGTGAAAGGAGTTACGAACATGGATAACAACGTGATTTGCAATAGAACCTAAGCATGATATATGATGAAAGTCATTCCTAAAAACGTAAATAAGTTGAAAACAAACTCTATTATTTTCACTCCTAGAGATAATAATGCTCAAACCCACAATTGATCCAATAATCTATAATGATATAACAAAGATTTGTGGACAATTTCAAAAATATATAATTGGTTTTTTGTTTTAAAAAAAAAACTATATTAATAGAATAATGATGACTCTTTTAAAAGAAGAAGAAATAAATAAGCACAATTGAATTTTGTGAACATATTTTGAATATGTACAATTGGATTTTAACAAAAAAAAAATTGTATTAAAGACTAGTATAATATAATATTTTATTTTCAAATTATTTCAAATCATATAAATTCATATGATATCTTCATTAAAATCTTTAATTATATTAAAATCTTATATAAAATTCTAATATTTAAAATGACCACTCGAGTTTTTGTTTTTATTATTTTTTTTAATTTCTGATAAAACACTTTTCAAATCACACAATCACGAGCCTTCAACGTATATCCCCAAATTCGAAATTCGAAATGCGCCAAAACCACACCTTTCTCTCTCCTCACCCCACCGTCCGGTGCTGAAGACGTGACCAATGTCGGCGACGGAGAAGCTCTTCGTGAAGATCTTCGAACGGAAAAAGCAATTCATCGAGCAAGTTCGTCAGGAGTCGCTTCTCTGGGAGGACAATCTTCGTCACCTACTCATTCTCAACGGAATTCCCCCTCCTCCATGGCTCAATAACTCCGCCGTTCACTCCTCCTTCCCCTCAGATCCCAAAGGTACTCTCTCCATCTCTCTCGTTCTGTTCACTCCTTCGGAGAAATTAGGGTTTATAGTGTATGAGAGAGAAAATCCTGCCATTTTTTCGTTTTAGGTTTAGAAGCATTTACCTGTATTATGATTATAATATATGAACAGTAATTAACTCTAATTGTTATTATTTTCTGGTAGATCCTTGATTATGTCTGGCTAAGCATTTTAGATTTTGCTTAATTTTTAAATTACGAAATCCAGTGGTTTTATTTTAATCTATGCTTATAAATATGAATCACACTTTAATTTTCAGTTAATATATGGATTTTTCTGTTTTTTTTCTTCTATATCCTTTTATGTATCAATAGAAGAATGTAATAACTCCTCAGCCAAATTTACTAAGTGAATGTTTGGTTTAGCTTTTGCAAGAGCCAAAAGCAATTCTAGAGGTGTATAATTGATTTTGGAATGATTTTGAGGTGTTTTGTTCTTCTAAAGTAGAATTGATTCCGCCTCCAGAATTGATTTTACTTGAGGGTAGAATTCATAGCTTTTGAGTTTAAACGTGTTTTTTACATTGAAATTTACAGTTAAACTCACATCTACATAAATTTATCCAAACATAAATCTCTTTTTTTAACTTGAACTCACTTTTATTAAAAATATTTTTCCATGTATGCAGATTTATTCAAAGATGATACTCTTTATCAAGGCCAACCATCACAAGCACAGTTTGGAGTTCCTTCTGTTGGTGATCATTGCAGTCAGTACAATAGTCTGGATGCTGTATCTGGCGATTTGCGTAATGAAGTCGATGCTATTAAAAAAGACCATGATACAGTGGGAAGGCTTTCTAATTTGCCAGATTGCTCAGTTAGTAATGCTGGATGTGCCTCAAGTGCTCCTCTAGAATTGGATTCAGTTGCTGTTTCACCTCAGAATCAGATAGAACAAAGAGTCTCGGAGAGTTTCCTTGACCCAGCAGTGTCATTGTCCAAGTTGCATAGATCAAGGTCAAGGCAGAAAGCTCTGGAGCAACGTAACAGTGCAAAAGCGTCCAAACTGTTGCCAGGAGATGGTGATAATGCTGGGGATTGTACTGCCGCAGCTACACGTTCTGCACCACCATCTCTACAGGAAGATCATATCAAGGAGTTAAGCTTGGTCAATGAGTTTCATCCAAACAACCGAAGTTGTTTGACGGAAGAAATGAGAAGAGGGGGCTGTCTAACTCGAAAAGACCACAGTTCTAATTACACTGGCCGTATAACAAGATCTAAAAGTTCATCCCAGAAGGTCAACACTTTGAATATCGGTGGTTCTTCTGTAGAGAAGGAAGATGATCCTCCACTTAATGATTTGAATGAGGAAATGGAGCTTATCAACCGGCCTTCTTTTATAAATGGAAGCTGTGGGGTTCAGGAACCAAATTTAATAGATTTTCAGAACAAGAACATTGGAAGCAGTGTCTATGATAAAAGATTAAGCAAACCTAGAAGTTCTAGCCAGGCAGAACATAGTAGTGAATTATTAAACTTAGACAGCACCTCAGGAAGATACAAAGTGGTTGAAGTATCTGATATGAATCAACCATGTTCTCATGTTGAGTTAACCGATTTAAGCAAAACCTCCGATTGTATCAAGGGAAGTAGGTGGAATATTGTTAAAGATGGTGACTTCTGCCAAACTGAACAAGAAAGCAACATTCAGAGTAGGTCAAGACTACATAGAAGTTCATGTCCATCACCAGGGGATGATTGTTTCACAACCAATGGTTCCGGAAGGTCTATCGATAAATCTGTGCAATTGCCTCAACCTTTAATTGCGAAGAATTTGCAGGACCCCTCAGTGGCCGCTGTTGGGTCTTTATGTAGCCAAGAGGAACCTCACATTTCTGCAGTAAAAGCAAATGTTGGGTCTTTATGTAGCCAAGAGGAACCTCACATTTCTGCAGTAAAAGCAAAAGAGTATTTAAGTAGAAGTGGTTCTGAAAATGTATACTTAACCAGAAATTCAAAGTTATCAAAGTCTCCAAATTCCAAATCTTGTGGGCAAAGGGCTACCCATTCCGAATCAGCGGGTAAGAAGTCTCAAAATGTACATCCTACAAAACTGGATCCTAGAAGGTTATCTTCAAGTCCTAAGTATTCCAAATTAGATTTACAAATTTCAGCGAATTCTGCAGAGAAGGAGAACATTGCAGAAGTTGATGCTTCTAGAAATACCAGGGCTGAGACTAGTTGCCCAGAAAAAAGTTTGTTGAGGCTAGCAAGCTCTTCCAATTTAGATGGTGGATCTATACTTGCAGAATCATTATACATTAAAACAGTTGTGGCTGAAAAGGACTTGGATGTCCTAGAAAATATAGCATCTGATGCCAATTCTACCGATAATGCTAAACACAAATCTACTACAACTACTGCCAAAGTTCAACTTGATTTTGATGGATTAGTTGATAAAGATCCTTCGTGTTTGGGGTCAAAACTCGCTGCTGTTAACCCTAAGGTTAGGGAGGAGGTTTCTGCCTCAAGGTTTTCCCCTGATTTTGTTATGTCTGTGATGCCTAAAGAACTTGTTTTTGATGATGCTGAAGAGACTATTAGGGATGGAATATCTAGCCCTGATTTGAAAGGAAGCAAGAGAATGTCACCAGATAAAGAACTTCTTGCTTTATCGGAACCATTGAAATTACTTGATGATGACACGCAGGAAGTTCTGGCAGATTCTTTTTCTGAAGCAGTTACTGAAAATGGTCTCCCTAGACATACAGACAAAAGTGTTACAAAATTCAATGTTAGGTTCCCAGTTAGTGCTCCTACTGATGAAGTGAATGTTGATTTGGCACAACAGTCCCCAAATACCATTTCCTGGGATCAAAATGGTGACTTATTCAGGCAGGCACTTCCCAGCAATGGAAAAGTTATCCGTTTTTCAACTGATGTACATAATTTCAATAGTTCCACAGAGAGTTTCACTAATGATATGGAGCATTCATGCTCTCAGCATAAGAAAAGAAAGATTGAGATTGAATCAGAGGAATTTCTTCCAGACTCTACACACTTATTGGAAAAGCTAGTTGATTCTACCAACCAAAGGCCTGCAAGTGGTACCTCAAGTATCAAAGAAGACAATCCAGAGGCTGTCATTGAAGTTCAACATTTGGCATTTGGTCAAGCGGATGATATAGGACATGAACTTGACTGTAAGAGCCCAACAGATGTGATGGAAGACTCCGGGGAAAGCCAAAAAATGGAAGGGTCTTCATGTACAGTGAGAAAAGATGAGGTAAATCTTTAATTTTTAAGCATTCAACAGTAGATTTGGATTCCCTGTATATCTTTGTGCTAACTAAGTTGGTGTCATTCAATACTGAATATCAAATTGTATGCCAAGCAGTCTTGGTTAACATCTTTACTACTGTTATTATCATGCAGTGTTGTTTTGGCAGACTTTGCCAGATTTACTTTATTGGATGATCACAAAATCCTTTGAAAGCTATTTCCGATAAAAAAATTGTTCTTAAAATTGTGGAAAATTAAAAGTAGTGGTTTTAAGTTTTTGACTCTTATTTGAAATATTTGCCAGGATAGAGAATAATGAAACAGAAGAGAGTGGTGGGAAGATATCTCAGTTAATTGAGAATACAGGATTAAATCTCAGTCTACATACATTGTAGCCTAGCCTTGTTTTATACAAGTTAAAAAAATGTAGTAGTGTTTTTCATTTTATTCTTAATCAAATATAAAAGCAATACCTGTAGTTCTTAAAATTGTGGAAAATTAAAAGTAGTGGTTTTAAGTTTTTGACTCTTATTTGAAATATTTGCCAGGATAGAGAATAATGAAACAGAAGAGAGTGGTGGGAAGATATCTCAGTTAATTGAGAATACAGGATTAAATCTCAGTCTACATACATTGTAGCCTAGCCTTGTTTTATACAAGTTAAAAAAATGTAGTGTTTTTCATTTTATTCTTAATCAAATATAAAAGCAATACCTGTAGTTTTATGTGATAGAGGATACTGAAAATGAAATAAATCATCCGAGTTAAGTAAAACCAATTTCAATAGAAATGAATAATAAATCCTAAAAGCCCACAATACCCTAAATAATAACTATCGTAAGCCCATCTAGGGGGGAACAACATTTTTAGCTGTTGTTTCTCAATAACTTTGGTAAGCTAATTCTCTAAATTGAATTAAAAAAATGTTAATATATGTTTTTACATTGCTTTATTTTCTTTCTAACTTTTGGTCTCTTTGTTTGAAATTAACGAGAGCAAACAACACATTTTAAAGCAATTGAGCTAGGGGAAAATTGGATTGAGTTTTGATTGCCATTTAGTATGGAAATATAGTAGTTCTATGCAATAATACTATAGAAGTAAATAATTAAAGCTATAGGTTGTTGGAGAGGATCCCTACTTAGGTTGTTGGAGAGGATGGGAGGGAAACAAAGATAAGAATAAGAAAGAATGCAGAGAGAATTCTGAGTTGGTTAATACATATGAATCTTATCAATTGTAAGAGTAACTTTGATGCAAGTTGATATTAATTTTGGATAAGAGAATCTGACTGCATGTAAGCTACTGGTTTAGCTTGGCATTGCTTCTTTAGACTGGAATTTCATTATATACATATATATCCTTTCCATTTGTCTGTATCAAAAGGAATATCAATTCTTTATTCTTGTCCTTGTTATAGATTGTGACACTTCATAGCCTTATGGCATGAGCCAGCTCTTGTATGATCAGAAAGTTTCATGAATAGGCCAGTTTCTAATTGTTTGTATAACTATATACTTTGTTTTGGGGATAATCAGTGAAACGCCATCTTCCATGAGCTATAGTGGATAATAAAAGTTCAGGGAAATGAAAATGAATTTTACTGTTGATTTTAAATGTTCTTCAGGATCTTCCAATTTTTTCTGGCTCTCTATTAGTCATTAGCTTGTTTGAAAATGCATTGTATTTAACCAGAACTGCACTCGTAACTGAACAGTGAATGAATTTGGTAATCTCCTACTCTGCATGAAAGTGAATATATAATTGTATATGTGCATGTATATAGTTGTAAAAGTTGTTTTCCCATTTTACTTGAGTTGTCTGAGTAGTTTGTGATTCAATGATTTCCTGTCAGCAGAAACTTATGTTGGATGGAAGATGCAGAGGGTCAGACACCCTTATGTTGCCAGAAGTAGATCCGTTCAGTTTTAGTATTGAATCAACAAGGTTATCCTTTGATGGGAAGGCCGGGTCATGGCATCTCCAGGGTAATTCTGGAGAAAATAATGCGGAGGATCTGACTTGTGTTGAAAGAACCACCTCAAGTAGAAGAATCTATCCCGAAGGTGATACCAAATTCTTAGATGGTTTGTCTGTTTCTCCAAGATTCCGAGATTTGGATTTGGTTGATACAGGGGCTTTACCAGAGTTTGAAGGGTTTCTTATGCAAACAGATAATGAGCAACCATGCACTGCTCAAGATGAAATGCAATTCGAAACTATGAATCTTCCTAGTAGCTCAGCCGATAATTCATCACTTGATGGATCTAGATTCACGTGCTCTCCATCAAGCTATTCTTCAACTCCATACAAGTTGCACAGCATAGCAAACATTTATCAGTCTTTACCTAATGGACTTCTGGAAGGATATGGTCTAAGGACTTCCCGTCATCTAAACGATGGGAGTCCAAGGGCCTTTTCTGATTGCCGACCAAAATGCAATGGTCAGTTTACATCTTCGGTCCAAACACTTTGGGATAGATTTAATTCTAACTTTGGCAGTTCTGGAAAGCGTAAGAGTTCGAAACCAGAGCTACCCTGCATAAGTGAAGAAAATGAAAATGTGGATGAGATTGCTGGTACATTCCAACACGGCATTGGTCCAGAAGGAATGAATGAGTCAATTACCAGAGGACAACCAGCTGAGATTGTAGAAAATGCAAACCCCTCTACATCAGTTTTACAAGATGCATTAACTAGTGAACAGGAAGATTTTGTGATCTCAGAATCTAACTTTGATGGTACATTCCAACAAGGCATTGGTCCAGAAGGAATGAATGTGTCAATTACCAGAGAACAACCAGCTGAGATTGTAGAAAATGCAAACCCCGCTACATCAGTTTTACAAGATGTATTAGCTAGTGAACAGGAGGATTTTGTGATCTCAGAATCTAACTTTGATGGGACTCACAATAAAGTAAAAAGGAAACTTGACAAGCAGGATGGAAATAGGACAAGATTAACAAGTAAGGGGAAGGATAACATGAGTATATCTCTTGGAGCAAATGGTGCCAAGAGGAACTCCGAATCAGTCCATAAAAGATCCAGTAGGCCAAAGTTATCTGGAAAAGATAGTATGAAACTACAACGCCCCACTTTTTCTGGAAGGAAGTCTACACGCAAGAATATTGTATCTAACATTACTTCCTTTATTCCATTAGTGCAGCAAAAGCAAGCAGCGGCAGTTTTGCCAGGTACTTAATAGTTATTTAAAACATGAATATTATTTTTCTACTATACAATTATTTGAACCCTAACATGTGACCATTTAGGCAAGAAAGTTATCAAAATTAAGGCTTTGAAGGCTGCTGAGGCTGCTAAGCGCAATGATGAAATGAAAGAGAATGAGCGCAAAAAGAAGAAAGAGGTCTTGATGGAGCTGCAGAAGAAAAAAGAAGAAAGAAAGAAAGAGGAGGCCAAAATGTCAGCAAAAAAAAGACCAAGGGAAAATGAAGAGAAAAAGGAGAAAGAAGGAAAAAGGAAGCGTGCTAATGACATGAAACAGCCAGAGCACGAGAAGATACTTGCTAAGAAAGAAGAGTTAAAAGTACACCGGCTAACTTCAGTAAAATGCTTCTATTGTCAATAAATTAGTGTTTCTCTCTCTTCTGATTTTGTGTGAATGCTAATATATAGATTTTCTGGTCTAGGGTAAAGAAGTACGCGAAAGCAGGAATATTGTGGATGGAAGAGACGATCGTAACAAATTGCTACCGCAAGAGAATAAACAAGGCAATGCAGAGAAAATTTCAAAAACTGAACCTTTGACCAAGGAAAGCCGTCATGAAAAGTATGAATCTGGGATCGAATGTGCCAATAAAGGAAAGGTAAATTAGTTTTCTGTGGTTCTCTTCTATGTTATCTTTAACATTCACAGATGGAAGGACTTCATAGCAGTTTGGTCCAGAACAGAAAAAATCTTTTCCAGTTTTATACAAAGTTCTTTTCTACTAACAATGGAGGCTGCTAATTTTCTAGTTAGTCAAATAATGCCAATGCTTTTAGTTAACTGCTGTTAATATTAGTTGTTTAAAGCCAACTGTTTCCTAATATATAGTGCTCAACAATTATTTGAAATGATACATGATTTATTCACTCGGTTTTAAGCAAAACAGAATTCTCTTGTGTAATGAGTTCAGCTTGTACTTGTGCTACGCAGGGCCTGGCTGATAATGAGTCCTTACAATGACCTTCTGGAATCTTTTATTTTTAATATTTAAATGTGTTGCTTGGTTCCTTTTTAACCATTGTGAGATTTAAATATCTTTATAGGCAACAAAGGAAGACAATGACTTGATCATCAAAAACTCACCTCTGGAGCAATCATACGATATGTCTCCATATAAGTCAGATGATGATGATGAAGATGAGGATGACATACCATCTAATAAATTTATACCATCATGGGCAAGGTTTGTGACTGTTCATGTTTTTGCATAGTACCCACTTAATAAAGTCATGGCGCCGTCTCTCAACATTATTTTTGTTGGTTTAAACCTTTTGTGGTGCATGTGTTAATGTGGATCATTTTTTAGTCCAACTGGTTCAAGGAAAATAAATTAAATAAAAGCTTTAAAAAGCAATATGCAGTTGGTCTACAAAATTGTGCAAAATTTAATGCACCAGATAGATAACTACTAGATCGCAAAATTTACCTAAAAACATTGAGTTTTGGTTGCTTTTTGCAGTAAGCATAGCCTGTTGCTGAATGTTTCTTCCCAGACAATGGTGGACCCAGAAACAATATTTCCTCGTCAAAGCTTTTGCGAGATAGCAGAAGGTAACTTTAAATCTTATACACTTTTATGTATTAGTTGTCTATAGACTAAGCACCAATTGCATTCTCTTCTACAGTTCTCCGGCCTCGGAAGTTTGTGTTATAGTACCAAGTCAGGAGTTTGGACTCCATAACATAGTGATTCCTTTTAATTCTTGGTAAGCTTTTGGATATTCTGAAGTTCAATAATTTGGTTATTCCATAGCATATATGTATCATCCTTAGGGTTAAAGGGCAAAAATTACCACGACCCATATAAAAAAAGCCAAGTCACTGTTTACACCATTGCCCGATGTGGCCAAGGTTTGATGAAAGACAAGCCACAAAGCTTATATGTATGGGCCAAAGACTTGGTTTTGATTGATCTCTTTATTTTTCTGGCTATTCTTTATTTATCGTTCAATTCAATTTAACTAACGACCTCGGCGAGCTTCTTTACAGGATACGGTGCAGCTGCAAAGACAATTAAATGATCCCTGCCCTATTTTTGCAGAGTTTCTTTTTCAAACTACCTCAAATCTGCTATTTCAAACGATGTGATTTTTATTCAAGATGCATCTTTTTGTATAGTTAACCTATTAATCGTAGAAGAAGCCGATGTATGTATGAAATTCATTGTCAAAATGAAGCGAGGAGCTGCTATCTTTCAAGGTCCTTGAATTCGGACAGTAGTAAAGTTAGAATGTACACGCCAGTTGGTAGGCATAGGTTTGTGCATGTTCTTTGCACAAATGTTGAATGTTAATTTGACACAAGTTTAGCTAAAGTTTCTGATATTATAAATTTGAGCAGATGAATTGTGCATTCATACTGCTCGTTAGTATTAGTATATTCTTGTTGAAGTAACTAATAAATAGAAGCTTTTGTATAACCTCATCGTTACCAGCGTTTGTTCTTTCACTTTAAAGAGGCATTTATTGAGTAATCCGTCTAAAATTTGTTAGAAGTCGTCATATTCGAGTACAAGAACTGGACAGAGGAAGTAACTCATTCCAAACATGCACTGTGCTTTGCCAAACAAAAGGGGATTGAAATAGGTATAAGATTTAATTGAGCGGGTCGCAAGTTAATTTCTCCACCATGCGTTTTTTTCTAATAACATCACACCTTGTGCTTAGGCATCACAACTAATTAGATGGATTTTGTTGTTGTATTATACTATATTATATTATATCAGTTTTTATTTTTTAATATAACTTTAAACAATTTTTAAAAAAATATTATCTTAGATATTATATTATTTGCTATGATTTTTTAAAAACTCACATAATTTTAAAGCTACTTTGAATACTATTAAATAATATATATATATATATATATATATATATATATATATATATATATATATATATATATATATATATATATATATATATATATATATATATATATATGTATATGTATATATATACTTTCAATGATGTTAAATTTTTTAATAATATATTTAAGATATTTAATATCAAAATTAGTCTTTTAATTTATAAAAATAAATTTGAAATAATGTCTACTATCTTTGAAAAAGTAATCCTAAAAATCAATTTTAAAATTGCAAAGACAAAAATCATGTTTTTTAAATCTAAATCAAACACTTAACTAAATCATAATAGTAGTATAATGAATTGAGAAAGTATTATAGAATTAAGCTTAAACGAACTACTACGTTAAGTTGAGGTTTAATTCAGTTTTTTTAGCCATTATGACTTTTTACATTCATCTCATTATTGACATGTCATGAATTATCCTTATCCCATCTAAATGAGAACATCAACATCTTGATATAAGTTTTAAGATAGGGATCTACAACTTTTGTTTAGAAGTCAAGACATGAATTTGCCCTCATTTTGAATAAAACTTTCACTTTCAAAAAAAACCAAAGAACCATCGTGCAAATGTATTGTTTTTGGATATTATTATTCTCAAATGTCCAAATTTGGATGAAACCCATGGGTAAAGTAAAGCAAACATCCAAAGCTATAATTTTCATGAAGGGTTTTTTCTTCATGCACAAAGGAAGGCCAATACTTCAACAAACCCTTTATCACAGGATCAGCCAACCTTCCATCTTTCTCAACAAACTGAACAACACAATAAGACAAATTCTGATGATACGTCGAAACACATTTAGGTTTATGAAGTGGTATAAGAGCCCTAATAAGAAAAAGTTTATGCTCCTCTTTCATAGGCAATGCAAAACCACTTATAATACCAGCCATTATCTCTAGCAATTCACAAATACCATTATGCCTCTGCGTTTCAAATATAAAACGACAGAATATATTGGTAATAGCTTTTCTTATAAAAGGCCTATGAACCATAAACTTCCCATAAATCCGATGAAGAATCGTCTTCAAATACTCACGCTATCCTCCGAATCAAAAAAGTCCATAAGCTTTAAAACAAACACATGATCTACATAATGGATCACAATTTTTGTATCAGTCTCCGGTGAAACAATGTAACACATTAGAATTTCATACACAAGCTGTAAATGTGCCCAAGATGGATCCGTATACGTATCATTTTTTTCTGGATCAACAGTTTCAGTACCTGTGTTTTCGTGTGATGCTGGAGGCAAACAACGGAAAATGTTGACAGAAACCATAGCGATCAATTCTTCTTGAAATTCGCTTAATTGGAACAAAGAAGATTGAAAAATATTAACTAGCTTGTAAAGTGTCTGTCTTTTGATTTCTTTCACCACAATGAACTTGAGTGTGTCTGAGAAATTTGAGAGAACAACACTATATAATTTTTCTCATAAATAGCGCGGAGCATTCTGAAACAGCGACTTCTTTGAGTGGTGGAAGTGATTCGATCACAGTTTGATTAGGAGGTGGCACTGCCGTATTAGGAGGTAGGTTTTGTGGCTCCGAATAGAAGGTGGGCTACGTGATGCAAGTTTAACAACTACTTGGTAGAATTGGTGTCCGTTATTTTCAGGGAATGTTACTTTCCTTGATTTCTTGTATGCGCTCTTTATGATCTTGTTGAACATTTTTGATGACCAGTAATAGACAACCCTTTGCATAAAAATTAAAATAAAAAATAAAATTCCTATGTAATGTACAACAGTTGAATTGATGATTATCAATGTCAAGCCTTCCTCTAAAAATCTCTTCGACATTGTTTAAGAAAGCGGGAATAGACGTGAACTCCTGTTTGGAGTTAAATGAAAGAACTATACGTATCAGAATCCACAGGTTCACCAAAAATCTCCACAAGAACATAAACCATACTTAAAGTGATGAAATCGGTTTGTGTCTCGAACAATAATCTCCCTGTTTGTAAACTTACACACAAGTTTCATAAAATTATGGCAATCACCACAAATTCTAAGATTTTTCATAATCCTTATAGGTATATCACTTGGTAAACACATCAATCCAAAGGTGATAGCAAGTTTCTCGCTGTGGTGCCTCAAAAGCATTTGTTTTTTGCTCTCTTCTACATCGTGCAGGTCATTATTGGTATCAACCTTGTAATTCAACTTCTCCAACTCTTCCACCAAATCATCCAACTTCGCATAAATGTCCTTGATTTGTGGATGATTTCTCTCGCCAACGGTAAACGTATGAATCTTGTTTTTAATTTCAATCCAGCTTGTACCCCTCTCTTTCTTCAATTCACTTTCTCGAAGAAGCTTCCTTGCTTTCGCAACTTCCTCCCACTTCTCATTTGCTGCATAAATGTTTGCTAGCAAGACGTGGTTTCCTGCATTATCAGGTTCCATTTCAAACAGATGCTTGGCTGCAATCTCAGCAAACTCAATATTGCTGTGATTTCTACAAGAAGCTAAGAGTGAACCCCATACAGAACTAGTCGCCTTAAATGGCATTCTCTCTATCAATTCATAAGCCTTGTGAACAAGTCCCGCACGTCCCAAAATGTCAACCATACACGAATAGTGAAGAACACTCGGCTGAAGATTATGCTGTCTAACCATGAGGTCAAAATATTTACGCCCATGTTCATGCAAACCCATATGACTGCATGCATTTAGTACAGATACATATGTTACATCATCAGGAACGAAGCCTCTCTGCTGCATTTTTTCGAATAAAACCATAGCCTCTAACGCACAAGCATGTCTAGCAAACCCAGAAATCATAGCATTCCATAAAACAACGCTTCTCACCTCCACACCTTGAAACACAAAATAAGCTTCTCTAATGCAACCACATTTTGCATACATGTCTATAAAGGATGAAGAAACATATACATTCGAACCAAATCCCGACTTACAAGAAACAGCATGCACTTGCTTCCCTTCAATCAAAGTTGCAAGACCCGCACAAGCAGAAACAGCAGACGATATCATAAACACGTCCTGCTCAAAACCCATCATCTGATAATCACGAAAAAGCAACAACGCCTCCTCATGAAGCCCATTTTGCACATACCCCGCCAGCATTGAACTCCAAGTAACCGCATTTGTTTCCGGCATACTCTCAAAAATCTTACCCGCATCTTTCACCAAAGAGCATCTCCCATAAACATGAAGCAAAGCAGTTCCAACAAAACAATTCGAATCAACAGAAACCTTAATCGAAAAAGCATGTAACTGCATACACTCAAGTATAGCACATTTAAAGGCACACTCACAGAGAACACTTGAAATAGTAAACTCATTAAACAATGTTCCCTCTCTTAGCATTTGAATAAACAGCATGAGTGCTTGTTTCTCCTCAGAAACCTTGGTAAGTGCTCCAATCATAGTGTTCCATGAAACAACGCTTTTAATCGGCATTTCATCGAACACTTTACGAGCATCACTAACTAATGAACATTTAGAGTACATGTTAATCAGCATGTTAGATGTTAATGTGTCTGTTTGGAATCCGACACGAATGATTTGAGCATGACATGTTCTTCCAGACATGGAAGAATTTGTTTTAGCACATAACTGCAAGTGACGTTGCAAATTTGATACACGGGTAGAATCGGCATTAACATTATCTAGGTTTGAATTGGGAAGGGAAAGAATAGAGAAATTTGTGAAATGAACTGAAGAAGTTGAATTATATAGTTTCTGAGACCTTTTCAAGGGGTTCATGCTTCATGTAAGCTTCGTATGTTGTCAATATTGTGGGTATTGTGTGATCAAAT